AAAGCCACTGTGAAAAATAGGATTATATGGTCATCCTTGCTTGTTGAAGGATCTCCTGGCTTTCATAGAAAATGTTCTGATTAGAAAGGACCCTCTGGAAAATTTCTGTACTTGGACAATACCAGCATCTTTCTTTCCCAGTTGTGACTTCTTCTTTGACCTTTAAGGTTTTCTTTCTACTTCTAGGAAATCCATCCATAACAGATATCATGCCGATCCCCATTTCTCCCATCTCTAAGCCTTTGGATCTCATCTCTCTTAAAGAGGATGTAGCAACTTAGAGCACTGAACTTGGTACAACTTTCCAACCTCTCTGTCCCATTAAACATTTGGTACCAATTCATCTTTGAATACTGTGAATGTGCATCATTTAGTGCTGTGTTGGAAGATAGTGGGTGTCCAATAAATATTCATGTTCATTAAATGGATGAATAAGTGGCTAAACTTTTAAATGAACATAAAGAGTGGCAAACACAAAGGCAAAATTATCATTACCTTCTTTGTGACTAGAGAAGTAGAGCAGTGAAGCAATGTTTTATTTGTTCTACGCCTACTTCCAAAAAGGGGCCCAAGATAATTTCTTGTGTAAGATGCCCACAAAAGGACCATCTAAATAAGGATAAGAGAACAGCCATAAAATGGAAGTTGGAAATAAAGAGGAGAAAAAGAAGGAAGAAGATACTTGTGCTGGAAAGGCTAAGCTAAAACTTAGAGGAAGTCAAGGCAAAAGGAAACTAAATGCTTTATGTCTTTTCACAGCTATTGCTATCATGGGGCATTGCTGTCATTATCCATTGAAAATGTCCAGTTGAATAAGAATTGAGTCTTTGGAAAAGAATAATATGCTTATGTCAAAGAGGGAGATAAAAGGAGTACATGGATTAAGGGAACATTAAAAAGAGTTTACAGGTGCAGAAAAGGCAATATTTCATGAAGATGAATATAATCCCAAATTAACAAATTCTCATAATCAGTAGATAAGCTCATTATTTAAACTACTTTCAGAGGGCAATGTAAGGGACATATTTTATGAAACTATTAATATTTCTTTTAAGGTAATTGGGAAGAAGATAAAAAAAACCACCAGGGAGATAGGAAAAATAAATAATCTTTTGTCCCATACCCCTTTGAGAAGATTATAAAGAAGATGGGCAGATATGCTGGCCTATAGGGTGATCAGGGTGGAGAACAGAAGGGAATTTTATGTTTCAGCCTATGGCTTATCTTCCAGCTAGTCTTTTACCTTCTGAAAATCAGGATCAAATCTTAACTATCATTAGGTCAGTTGACTTGCATCTGAGAAGATATTCAATAAATGTTGGTTGAAAGAATGAATGAATGGGTGGAGGGAAGATGCCTTAGGAGTTCATATTATTGAATGGATCCATTTTTTTCCCCAACATGTGTTGTCATAGTAGCCCCAAGAAGTTAACCTTTCTGGCTGGCCTCTGATCTTTGGGTTCAGAGAAACAATGTCCTAGAAAAAAAGAATATACAACCTAAAGCCTAAAGAGATTCACAAAGACCTTTAAGAGGACACAGCAAGGCTGTTGTCTTAGAGTCACCTGCTTGAGGTTATTGAAAACATAATATGTGTGTGTGTGTTAAAAGTTCGAAAATATTTTTGAATTCTTGATGCAAGCTCCCTCACCCCCATTCCTAAGTCCCTCAATTTTTTCCTCTCATAAAACATCTTATAATGGGTGTGTTATAATCTCTTTAAGTTATAATTTAGTAAAATAAATAGTTGAATGATTTATGGTACTTTAATTTTAGTTCTTTTTCTGTTTTTGAGTCAGCGTCTTTTTAAAGAAATTTCTTGATAGGAGAAGTTTCTTATCTGTGGATAAGAGAAAGGCAAATGTTATTGGGCTTAAAGATAGTATTTGTCCTCTAAAATGACCATATTTTAATATGTTGAGGTATATTTTGAAAAGAATAATATTTTATATCTGGTTTGCTTTTCAAGGGTCTCTAAAGGTTTATTTAATTTTTAGGTACGAACAAAAGAGGAGAGCCAAAATTCAAAAGCTTAAATATTTTATTAAAATCTTATACAATGATAAACAGGTTTCCTGCACTTCAATTTCTCCTCTACAGTTTGATTTTAAAGTCATGTTTCAGCAAATTTTCAATATTCAGTTAATATATTGGCCTGAAACAATTTGCTTGGAGGTATGCCATTGTCATTTAATTTTGTATATTATTTTATACAATAAATGATTTTAAATTTCTTGTTAATATTATAAGTTCTTTTATATTAAGAGATATTAAGATAAGATATTAATATTTATAAATAATATACTTATAATTCATCAGTAGTCTTTTATGCTTTAAGTACAAAATTATTTGATTTGTAGTTGTTCTAAATACTTCTTTCCTGCTATAGTTCTTGCCAACCCTAGACGTGCAGCATTATTCATTTATTAGTGAGGTGGAAGAGGTGAAAGAAAGTTGTTTAAACTATGAGTAGTATAGCAATTGTTAGTGTTGAATAATTTCTTCAAATTGCCCCAACCTTGGTTTTGTGATTTCAGTCTCTTGATATATTTGTTCATCTTTTTAAAATTTTTTTAAAAGAATCTGATGAAGAAACACACATGTAGCAGACCCCTGATCCCTTCCCAAAGACCCCATCATAAGAATCCCGGCACTAAAAGAAGAAAAATATGATGATGAAGACAAATTAGAAACAGTAATGGAGTCTAGACAACAAGTCTTGATGGCTAATATAAGGGTTAAACTTGAACCTCAACCTGAAAGAAAAGTTAGGAGGAGTAAAGATTTGTGTTATATGAGTATAGAGTGGAGTCTGAGACATGGGGAGATTATTATTACAAATCTAAATCAGTTATTTTTTGATTCCTGATCAAAAGCTGTATTCATTTTATTCATCTGTGCCTTTAAGTTACTATCATCTTAAAATGTAGCTCTGTTGAAATTTTTTAAAATTATTTATTTTAATTGGAGGCTAATTACTTTACAATATTGTAGTGGTTTTTGCCATACATTGACATGAATCAGCCTTGGGTGTACACTGTTGAACTTTTTATTTTGAAAATATACTGACTACACTTTCCTACTATTGTACGTAAAATAAATTGTGATATTATAATCTAACTTCTTGAAGTTTAAAATTGCCCCCTCTAAAATTACCAAAATAGGTAAGTGTAGATTTTTGAATCATTCTTCATCATCATCAATTAGCACATGATCCTAACAAACTAAGAGGCAAAGAAAGAAAGAAATCTATCTAGGGATAATTCACACTATTAAAAGCTGCATGAATTGCTAAATAAATCTATATGCCCTTGATGAACACATACAAACCTGCATTTCTAATTTTATTATTATTTTTCTTTACTCCTTCTTCACTTCAGCCAAACTGAACTGTTTGGTTTTTTTCCCCATATATTTTTGCAATTCCCTACTTAGACTTTTTTAATATTACAGTTTCTCCACTTATAATGCCTGTTTTCATTCTCGACACGTCATCTCAGCTACACAGATGTTGATAGCTGCCATTGGGAACAAGTCATCTCCTGGGAGATTCCAGGTGTCATTCTCTACCTTTACATATGCTGCAGTCTAGGATCTGGCCTCCAAAGTGAATTTGACAGTTCCATGAGAACACATGGACATACCCTAAACAAGTCCGCAAGATTGATGTGTAAAATCAGAATGCCAACTGAATATATGAATATATTTGTCAGTTCATTGTCTCTTTTTAGTTAGCCAGTTTACTAATTTACAATAAGAAATTTTTTTCAGAGACATAAATACTTAAAATCCATTAGCTATAATTAGCTATAACCCCCGCAAACCTTTCTGTATTAGTGATGCCTTTGGCAAAGGGACCAGTGTGTTGGCTTAAATTCACTCTTATAGAAACAGTATTTAGGTGACCAGAAAAATAGTTGCCTCTTTGTCTTGCGTTTTTCTCTGCCTTCTTGGTTAGCAACTGTCCTTTTGGTTGGTACATTCTTTTTTATCTTTTAAGGGGCATTTATCTTCTTTGATTTTCTTTTCTTTAAAGCACATATCACTGTTTCTCCAGACACTGATAACAGAGTATAAATCACAATAAGATCTTCCTATTGAAAAAATTTGGGTTTGTAGTTATGACAGTGATGGAATTCTAGTAGAAAGCACAGCATGCGGAATCAGAAGACCTGGGTTTAGTACTCAGTAAATGTCTGTAGAACCACGTACTCAGCGCCTTCCTTACTCCTCCTTCTGGGACTTTTCCTCCCTTCCCTGCTACATAGCTCGTTTAATCTGTCCTTGGACTCGAGGAGCCAACAACTCTCCCTTTTTCTTAGGCAAGTCAACCTGAGTTTCTATCACTTTTAATAAAAATTAATAGAGTTTCATATAGAGATTTCATTTCTTCATTTATAAAATGGGAAGAGTAATGCCTATTTCCTGTAATTTTTATTAGGTTTAAATAAGATAAAGGACTTTTAAAGTGCTACACAACAGTAAGTTCTTTGGGTATTGTGTTATATGTACTGAATTCCCAGAATTATATTTCTCATCCTTTTATTCAACTGACTTTCTTTGAAACCAGTGAAAGGCACTATACTTTTAAACACATAAGATTACCTAATTTTATCACAATCATGTGGATCAAAGGCTCTAGAGCAATACCTGTTTTACATTCTAGTATTTTTAAAGGAATTATGTTAGTGATGACCTTTGTTTTAGCTTTTTTCTATTTTGTACTTTCAGTGAGTTATCAATCATTTCTTTTATGTTTAGGTTTATGAAATAAGTAAAAGGACATGCTTATTGGCAAAACTATATTTACCCTTACCTAACAGCACAGAATTGAAAAGCAAAAGTATTTTGGAATATCTAGAATTTAGCTCTGATAAACTTGTCATACCTGCATATGGAGAAGTAGGAAGCAGTAAGTTTATTAAAAATGTGTCTTCCCTCCTATTTCCTTCATGAGTTCTATATCCTAAATGACCATGGGTCATTCATATGAACAAAGAATCCTATTCATAGAGTCATAAAATATGTTGGTAGATGCCGGGGTCTGGGGGTGGTGGGTTATGGAATGGGGAAGGAGAATGAGAATTTAGTGTTTAATGGGGACAGAGATTCAGTTTACGAAAGTGAAAAATTCAGGAGATGGTGAGAATTGCACAGCAATGTGAATGTTCTTGGTGCCACTGAAATGTACAGTTAAATGTTGTTAAAATAATACATTTTACATTATGTGACCTTTACCACAAAAAAAAAAAAAATTTAAAAGGAATCCTATATTTATAGTGTTAGGTTAAAATGAATTAAGTTCTTCCAGACAGTAAACTAATTTTTAAAACTTTGACTTGAATCAGATCTTTAGGAAATCTAAACTTTGAGACAAGCTCCTCTGCTTTTCCTAGGGCATCTGAGACAAGAGCACTGTGCTTTGTATAATGTGAGCTCCACACCTAAGTGGGGAGATAGCTCTGCCCCTACCTGACTTGAAGTGAAGTGAAAGTCTCTCAGTCGTGTCCAACTCTTTGCAACCCCATGGACTATACAATCCATGGAATCTCCAGGCCAGAATACTGGAGTGGGTTGCCATTCCCTTCTACAGGGATNCTTAGAGAAATTTAGGATGCACTAAGCATTTGGCAGAAGTTTCAAGAAATATCACTAAGCTCTCTGGAGACTGAGAGGGAAGATGAGGAGAGGGAGAAAATTGAAGAATGTAGGGAAGGAGCCAAACAGTAGCTCTTTTTCTGCTAGCATGCGTGCTCAGTTGCTAGTTGTGTCAGATTCTTTGTGACCCTATGGACTGCAGCCCGCCATGGAGTTTCCCAGGCAAGAATGCTGAAGTGTGTTGCCATTTCCTACTGCAGGGGATCCCTCCCCCCACCCCCACGCCCCCTGTCAGGGATCTAACCCACGTCTCCTGATCCTACACTGGCAGGCAGGCAGATTCTTTACCACTGAACCACACTGGAAAGCCTTTTTTTGCTGCCAGTGGTGTTTTTTCCTTGCTGGCAGCCACTCCCAGAAAGAATGGTTTGAAAACTTGTGTTCAGATAAGTTCTCTCCTCTCTTGTTTGTAGTCTGTTTGAAACAGTCTGCCTTGAGGGGTTTTGGGTAGGAGTTGAAGGAGAGCTGTAAAGATAGAGCCTGCAGTCAGCATAAACTCTGTATTTCTGGGGTTCCAGGAACACGTAAAAGGGGAAAAAACTGTAATGTGCTCAAATATTCATATGTTTTTAATACCCTTTGTAAACAGATGTGCCCTTTCTTCTTGAGGAAAATGGAACTGAAGAACTTTGTCTTTTGACATCAGGAAAACTAAGCTATTCTTTATCATGGGCCTTGGATGAAAATGGTGTTCCTCTGACACCTGTGTCACAGTCACTACAATCTGCTTTCTGCAGGTAATAAACTTTATGCTTGAAAAATAATGCCTGTCCTCAGCAAAGCATCACACAAAGCTTACAAAAGGGAAACTCTAGATAAATGGTAGGAACAGTTTAGTTTACATGGATGTTGCTTTATTTTTATTTGTATTTGTAAATATATAAAATATTTATTTTATTTATAATCACTCCGCTAAAGCAATAAGTATCTTTATGTGTAAGAGAATGTGTCTCTTCAATGTTTAGGATTAGAGCCACATGGATGATGACAGAGGCGGTTCCATAGTCCTTAGACTGTGTAGGCAAAGGCCAAGACTCCCAAGGATTTGATTTCTGGGTCCTTTATCTCTCCCAGTCATTCTGGATTATGCAAAAGAAGAAAAGATTTTTTGCATTATCAATTTGCTGGAAGAAATTGCTGAGCATAGAAATGTCTTTTTTTTTTTTTTTAGAAATTTCATCTATATCCCACAACTTCTTAGAGAAATTGGAGTTAACTTCTAGACCCTATCCACAAACAGTATTACTAGAAGTACAGTAGAATTCTATAGAAATGATAATAATGCTGGCTTATATACTGTGCTATGTTTGAGTAAAATGACACACATAAGGGGCCAAAAGATCTCATCATTAAAGAAATTAATGAATGATAATGACAAAAGGATAGCCTTTTCCCTCCCCATCTTAACACATATTTTAATTTTTATTTGTTTTTTTAAACACATATTTTTAAGAAACAGTCTAGATCCAACTATATGACATTATGGGAAAGGCAAAACTATGGAGACAGTAAAAATGTCATTGTTCACCAGGAGTTAGGGAAAGGGAGGGATGAATAGGCAGAGCACATAGTATTTTTAGGGTAGTGAAACTATTCTGTATGGTACTGTAACTGTGGATACGTGTCATTATGTATTTGACAAAAATCCGTATAACATAAGACACCAAGAGTAAACCTTACTGTAAACCATGGATTTTGAGTAATGATGGGTTAGTGTAGGTCCATGGATTATAACAAGTGCAACTCTTTTATTGCAACAAACATAATAAATTATAACTCTGGTGCAGGATGTTAATAGTGAGGTAGGCTGTGTATGTAGAAACTGTACTTTATACCAATTTTGCTGTGATCCTAAAACTCCTTTTAAAAAATTCCTATTTTTAAAGTAAAATAATAACATTTAAAAAATATTCATATAAATAATGTGGATTAAATAGGAAATCAAAACTGAAATTAGAGACTATTTTTAAAATAACAATGAGAACACTATCTACAAAACTTGTGGCATATGGCCAGAATCATAGCAAAAGTTCATAAGTGGTCTTCTTGCATACATGAGTGCTAAGTCGCTTCAGTCATGTCCGATTCTTTGTGATCCTACGGACTGCAGCCTACCAGGCTCCCCTGTCCATGGAATTCTCCAGTCAAGGATACTGGAGTGGGTTGCCTTGACCTCCTTCTGAGTGGTCTTCTTGGTAAATAAGAAAGAGTTTTAGAGAAAAACTAAACCAATGTCAGTAGTACTCAACAATTGATGTTGAAGAAACAGGAAGTGGATATAGATTACTCATCAAGAAGCTTGACAGTAAAAAGAGGCTGAAAATAAGAGAGAGAACAGACTCAAAGTAAGAGTTCTTAAAATCTGGGGGCAGTACTTATCTTCTAAAAGGAAGTGATGAAATTCATAGGAAAAGAACCAGAATGTATTAGAAAGAATATGAGATAAAGAAGCCACCTGCCAATATAGGCGATGCAAGAGACTTGGGTTTGATCCCTGGGTCACGCAGATCCCGTAGAGGAGGAAATGGCAACCCACTCTAGTATTCTTGCCTGGAAAATCCCCTGGACAGAGGAGCCTGGCAGGCTGCAGTCCATGGAGTCACAAAGAGTCGGACACAACNTCTCACTTTCTCCCATTAGAGTGGTGTCATCTGCATATCTGAGGTTATTGATATTTCTCCCACAGTCCTGATTCCAACTTGTGCTTCATCCAGCCCAGCATTTCACATGATGAACTCTGCATATGAGTTAAATAAACAGGGCGACAATATACAGTCCTTCCCAGTTTTAACCAGTCTGCTGTTCCATGTTTGGTTCTAACTGTTGCTTCTTGACCTGCATACAAGTTTCTCAGGAGGCAGGTAAGGTGATCTGGTGTTCCCATCTCTTTAAGAATTTTCCACATTTGTTGTGATCTACACAGTCAAAGGGTTTAGCGTAGTCGTTGAAGCAGAAGTAGATGTTTTTCTGCAATTCTCTTGTTTTTTTCTATGATCCAGTGGATGTTGGCAGTTTGATCTCTGGTTTCTCTGCCTTTTCTAAATCCAGCTTGTACATCTTGAAATTCTCGGTTCACCTATTGTTGAAGCCTAGTTTGAAGGATTTTGAGCATTACTTTGCTAGCATGTGAAATGAGTGCAATTGTGCGGTAGTTTGAGCATTCTTTGGCATTGGTTTCTTTGGGATAGGAATGAAAACTGACCATTTCCAGTCCTGTGGCCGCTACTGAGTTTCCCAAATTTGTTGGCATAGTGAGTGCAGCACTTTCACACCAACATCTTTTAGGATTTGAAATAGCTCAGCTGGAATTCTATCACCTCTGCTAGCTTTGTTCGTAGTGTTGCTTCCTAAAGCCCACTTGACTTCGCATTCCAGGATGTCTGTCTCTAGGTAAGTGATCACACCATTGTGGTTATTCAGGTATTAAGATCAAAATGGGTAATAAGGGTAATTTATTTTGGAGCTAGTGAATGAGGTTTTAATATCCTGAACCAGAATTTTCTTGTGTTACTTAGTATTTCCCTAGCATAGTCCCCCACTGCAGCTATTTTTTTTTTAATTTTTATTTATTTATTTTTAACACCAAAAACATTTTGGGGATATAGCTGATTAACAGTTTTGTGATAGTTTCAGATGGCAGCAAAGTGACTCCCAACCATATACCCACTACAGCTATTTTAAATCTTTACCACATCATTCTTTGTCTTTTTCTTAAAGTCAGATGTCTGTTCTCCTCACTCTAAAGCTAACTTTTATGCAAGTAANTTGTGATAGTTTCAGATGGCAGCAAAGTGACTCCCAACCGTATACCCACTGCAGCTATTTTAAATCTTTACCACATCATTCTTTGTCTTTTTCTTAAAGTCAGATGTCTGTTCTCCTCACTCTAAAGCTAACTTTTATGCAAGTAATTTGGAACTTCCCTTGGTCTCTTTTAGGAATCTATTGACATATTTATATCCTTTTCTTACATTTTCTTCAACTTTTCCATCTCCCTATGCTGTAAGTCTTTCATATCTAAGAAGCTTTCTGTGCTTTAAAACAAAGAAAAATCCAAGCATTTGATTAAACCCTAAAAACCCTTTCTGGTTGTTTTTCCTGCCCAAGTTATTATATGGATGCTCTCCTGGTCTATATACATTGCCTTTACTTTTTGTTCACACATTTCATCCCTAACCCAACCCATTTACTCCTCAAGGCTACCAAGGACCTTCTGGTCATATTTATTGATCTGTCCTCATCTTTTTGCTTCTTGATGGCTCTTCTCTTTTGGCTTCTGTGATGCTGCACTTAATGGTTCCAATCACTTGGGAACTCAAGTTTATAAAAGATTGAAAGTAGTTGTGCAAGATTGAAACAGATGAAAAGTGTCAACAGAAGATGAACTGCAGGAAACGTTTTCAAAGTTCAGAGCCCTTTCTAAAGTGAACTTGAAGTAAAGCTTTACCCCTGGGGATTCTGAGATCAGAGAGGGAAATTGCAGAACTCTCCTGTCTACAGCTGTGGGAGCCCAGGGGCTGGTGAGCAGCAGTGGTTTTAGGAACCTGGGATGGGCGGTCCAAAAGGCAAGACTGACTTCTGAGCGTCAGAGTGTGAAGCTAAAGGAGATCAGAAAGAGTTTGTTTATTCACTCACTCATTCATTCATTTATTCATCAACTACTGACAGAACTAGAAACGGAAGAGGATCTTAGAATGCTTTATATTGCAAAAGTCCTATCTCTCCAGTCTCAATTAACATTGTCTAGAGTTTTTGTTTAACACATTTTAAAAACATAGAACTGTTTTTCTTACACTCACTAGTTGATTACTTTGTGACGTGGTTAATTGAGTTTTGTATTTGCCCTTATTTCTTATCTCCCATAACTTTCATTCTGGATTTACTCTTCTTGCTCAAAGTTGTTCCCCGAACGATTCAGTTTCTTTTTTTTAGCTTTTTGTTTTGTACTGGGGTATAGCCAGTTATGACACCACCCTTATGTCAGAGAGTGAAGAGGAACTAAAAAGCCTCTTGATGAAAGTGAAAGAGGAGAGTCAAAAAGTTGGCTTAAAGCTTAACATTCAGAAAACTACGATCATGGCATCTTGTCCCATCACCTCATGGGAAATAGATGGGGAGACAGTGGAAACAGTGTCAGACTTTATTTTTTCTGAGTGACTGAACTGAACTGAATAGCCAGTTAACCACATTGTGATAGTTTCAGGTGAACTGCGAGGTGAACTGCGAAGAGACTCAACCATACATATACATATTCATGAAAATGATTCTGTTTTCATGGCTAGAAAGCTTGTTTAGTCTTTATGTATTTGAAAATGTATTTTTTCCTCATTCTTGAATAATTGTGTAGATGGGCATAAAATTTGAGGCTGATACTTATTTTCCCTAAGCACTCTGAGGCTACAGTTGCATTATCTTCTGGAATTTATCATAGCTGTTTAAAAATCTGATGTCAGTCTAAATGTTAGTATTTTGTAGATAGTCTTTTCTCCCTGATAACTTTAAAATTCTTTGCTTAATTCTTAGAGACAAAGCTCAGGCCTGAGGGCAGGGAGGAGCTATTGCTTAATGGGTACAGGATTTCTATTTGGAATGATGAAAAGTTATGAAAACAACATGGTTATGGTGACTGTACAACACTGTGGACTGAATGCCACAGTGCCATACTAAATGCCACTGGATTACATTACCTGCTTAGCATTTGTTTGTGAAGGAGGGTTTGCAGATGACAGAGGAATTTAGCTGTAGGTCACAGCTAAACAACTGTAGGGATGACAGAAGAAATCATTATAGCAAAGGCAGGAGATGTTCTGAGGCTTTTATTACTTTCCCTGAGGCAGAAATCTAGAGACTGTGTTGAAATACAACCAAATTTTTCTAAGGGTATAATGGGATAAGTTTCTCTCCATAATGTATTCATTAACATTTAAACTGTACCGAGCCTTTATTCTCTAAGGGACCTGGGCTAAGATTCTTCCCATGAGAAGGAAAATTTGTTATGTGATGATGTTAAGGGTATCAGGCCCTAGAGATCTCTTACGACAAAGATATTAAAACAGTTCAAATGAGAGGGTAGACATAGGAATTAAAGAAGGGAAGGAATACTCAAGCTTTACCTGTTTGTAACTTTGCTTAACATTCTATCAAACCATGTATTGGCTTTGTTAGGAATAACTTCCAAAGATTTGATAGTTTACAGTGCATGGTGTCGGATTCATGATCTCCGGAGAAGAAAATTGAGCTTCCAGATCAGGAACCAGGCTTGACCACTCAGGACTCTTGTGTGGGCAGAAGTTTTATTACAGTGAAAAAGGACTGAGAAAGTTTCTGACATAGACATCAGAAGAAGGTGGAGAGTGCTCCGTCACTAGGCTTAACAAGGGAGCTATATATTTTTTCAATAGGTTATTAATAACAAATCAAAAGAATGTTTCAAGTTTGTAAAGGTCTTAGCAGACCCACTCCGACAATTTACATTTTAAAATGATGGGATTAGAACTAACAATGGCAAGATTTTACCAGTCCCACCCCCACAATATACATTTTAAAATAACAGGATTATCTTAATGGGCTTCCCTTGTGGCTCAGCTGGTAAAGAATCTGCCTGCAATGCAGACCTGGTAGACCTGGGTTTGATCCCGGGGTTGGGAAGATCTCCTGGAGAAGGGAAAGGCTACCCACTCCAGTATTCTGGCCTGGAGAATCCCATGGACTATATAGTCCATGGGGTTGCAAAGAATAGGACACGACTGAGTGAGTTTCACTTTCACAAGAAGGTGAAACATGTCCTCATGCAGGATACATTGTTGTTATATAAACCTTAGTACAGAGTTTAAGATGAGTCGTTTTGTTGTGTTATCATCAGCTCTGGGCTTAAAGGGGGGAAAAAAAAAGCTGTAATGGGATAAGTTTTATGTGACTTAAGACTAAGGAATGTAGAAAAAAAAAAAAAAACTTGTTCTCTTCTCCTCTTTGAGAACCCCAGATCTCTGTCTCCTCCTCAGGGACCCCAGGCTTCTTATCAACCTACCTAAGAATTGACTCTCTCAGATTCATCATAAAAAATATGAATAGATACTGATGGAAAGTGGACAGTGTAAAATGTGTGTCCATGTTTGGGCTGACATTATGGAATCTGAGCCAGAACTGTATTGTTGAAATCCTAGTTTATGGACTGGAATTTTCCCTGAGTACTACATAGAAAGGATCTTAGAAATCTTTCAGTCTGAAGCGTTCTAATTCCACATGGTAAAATGAATTACCCATGAAGAGAGAGATTAATTAACTGGGATAATTGATGGCTGGAAAGAAACCCTTTCTGTTCAGGGTTGAATTTCCTCTGCACTTTGCCTGTAGTGAGGTCACTAAGATTGCACTCCCAGGTGTGCTAGTGGTCAAGAACCTGCCTGCCCGTGCAGGAAGACAAAAGAGACGTCCGTCAGGAAGATCTCCTGGAGGAGGGCATGGCAGCCCATTCCAGTGTTCTTGCCTGGAGAATCCCACGGACAGAGGAGCTTGGCAGGCTGTAGTCCAGAGGGTTGCACAGTCGGACATGACTGAATTGACTTAAGAATGCACTTGAGAATACATTCTAGCCTGTCTTTCATAGCTCTCCAACTTCTAAAGCTATGGCCTCATAGGACCAAAGATATTCTTCTGACTCATGCTTCCCAGTTAATTGTATTACATACTCTATATTGTGTTTCAACTATAAAGATATAGCCTAAAGATTCTTTTTATATTGTGTATTTTAGATATCAAAGAGGAATATTTATGGGCTTTACCCTTAAGAAGCTTACTTGTCTCTTAAGGGAGGGATAGACATTTATCAAAAAACTATCATACAGTTAGAATGTGAGAAGAACCAGGGAAGATAGCACATCTGAACCTTCTGTTTTATCCTTAAAAGCAGAGGATGGATAAGCTTAATCTTTAAATACCTGTAATGGGTAGGTTTTACCCCATATAACAGATGTATCACCTGTATATTACATATAAACTCACAACATATTTTTCCTTATGTTAGTGTGTTAAGGAATGTAGATGCAAGAGGTGTTCCTGAAATTCCATGGCTTATTAATGCACAGAAGCTTTTTGAATGGGCCAATGAGGTCAGAATTGACCCAAATAACCCAGAATGTTCTGATTTAATGGAATTTATTATGGTAAGTTGTAGCAAAATATCTGTACTGTAAATATATTTATTAAGCTCTATACTCTTATACTCCGCCACAGTTTGCAGTATATTTTTCTGGGCACTAGGAGTCATTAAAAGTAAACCTGAGGACAGAGTTTTCAGTCAGTTTACAGTATTATGAGGCAGTTAGAAATTCAACAACTGGGAAAATGATTGGTACTCCACCACTATTTAGCAGCCCTTGCTTGGTGCGTCCAGCAGAATAATCTCCAGGTTGACATCTGTTGTACATCTACTGAGTACCAGCCATATTATTAATTGCTGAGGACTTTAAGATGATTCAAAGACATCCTCCTTCCCTCAAAGACTCTATTTATTCACTTCTACTCCTGCTCATAGCCAACTGAACTGCTCTTGTGTGCTCCAAAAGTGCTTTCTTCATACTTTTATCCATGCCATTCCCTCTGCTTAGAAGGGCACCTATATCAGCTATCTTACCCACCCTGCAAGTCTGGTAAATACTTCTTGGCAACCTTGTTACCAAGTCCAAGCTTCCTTTGCTCCCCCACACATAGGCCAGTGAATCTGAGAGATAAGGTGTTGAGGCAAGGAATACGGCTTTATTTGGAAAGCCAGCTGACGGAGAAGATGCAGACTAACATCTCAAAATAACCATCTTGTCAGCATCTGGATGCCAGTTTCTTTTATGTATCAGAGATGGAGGGTGGACATAAGGAAACAAAGTAAAAAGGCTATTTAATCTTGCAAGTATCTCCTGAAATGGCAAGCCTCAGGCAGGGGGAATGTGTTAATTTCTTTTTTCCTGCCAGCCAGGTGGACAGGGTTATGAACAAAGGCACTTTAGCTTAAGTCAGGCAGAGGGGCAGGGTTCTTTGAGGCAGCCCATTATGTGTGATTATAATAACAATATCAACGGAAAGCAAGTCAAAGAAACAGTTTCAACGTGGGGTCACAATTTACTTCTCCCTGCAGCAACTTCAGTTAGGTATGCGCTTTTCTTTTCTTGCCCTCCTGTTTTTTTCTTTTTTTTTTAATAATTCTTATGAATCTATTCATAAGATAGAGTTTGGGCAAGCCCTGGGAGATGGTGAAAGACAGGGAAGCCTGGCATGCTGCAGTCCATGGGGTCGGAAAGAGTCAAACACAACTGAACAACAGCAGATGGATCTATCATTCTGCCTTTACTGTAGTCATTCGTCCATGTGCTTTATCTTTCCTTGTGGAACTACAGCTAGTAAATCTTTGTCTCTCTTATGGCGCTAGCACTTTTCCTCTCATGTACTGTGTACTCACGTTTGCATTTCTTGAATAAAGCAGTGCATAGATTATTTCAGTTAAGTTTCCTCAGATCATAGCTTCCCAACTGACATGCTGAATTGATTTCTTGTACATAGAACTATTGAACTTCTCTCACTTCATAGAGCAACCAGATATATAAAAAGCCTCTTTTAGCCTATTGTACAGTAACATGTTTTCATTTCTATATAGATCATGACCAGGAAAAGGCTGAGAATGTATGTAGGCTAGATTCTGCACTTTTTTTTTTTCCCAGATTTTCTATTACAGATTTAGTTGTTCCACTTCCTGTTTATATTGCAATCTCATATCTCACAGTTTCAACTGTTTTGAAGTCTTGGATTAAAAAAAAATTAAGTAAAGTCTTTACATTATTTGTGTTTTACAGTACATAAAACATAAAGGACAGGATATTCCAAATTATTTTCGTCTTGAACAGTTGCAAGATGAATTTAACTTTGTTTCTGAAGAGGAAATGAAAAAGAGTAAACGTTTCCAGCTATTGCAACTTAGAAATGCTGGTCAATTAGATGTTTTCCTTCTGCAGCAAATGCCCCTTTATGACAGAGAGATTCCAGATTTAGTCTTCCAGGTACTTGGTTTCTATTTGAATATTGCTTGTTCTATGATAAGTTAATGTTTTGCTGCTCTAAGTCTGTATTAATTTTTAAAAAACTATCTATAGACAAAGAATTTTCCCTTCTTAAATTTTTTTTACTTGAAGTATATTTGATGTACAGTATTTATATAAGTTTTACAGGTGTATAGTATAGTGATTTACAACTTTTAAAGGTTATGTTCCATTTATAGTTATTCTCCAGGCAAGAATACTGGAGTAGGTTGAAAAGGAAATGGTAACCCACTGCACAGCACAGAACAGCACACCAGTATTCTTTTTTTTTTTCATTTATTTTTATTAGTTGGAGGCTAATTACTTCACAACATTTCAGTGGGTTTTGTCGTACATTCACATGAATCAGCCATGGAGTTACATATATTCCCCATCCCGATCCCCCCTCCCACCTCCCTCTCCAGCCGATTCCTCTGGGTTTTCCCAGTGCACCAGGCCCGAGCACTTGTCTCATGCATCCCACCTGGGCTGGAGATCTGTTTCACTATAGATAATATACATGCTGTTCTTTCGAAACATCCCACCCTCGCCTTCTCCCACAGAGTCCAAAAGTCTGTTCTGTACATCTGTGTCTCTTTTTCTGTTTTGCATATAGGGTTATCATTACCATCTTTCTAAATTCCATATATATGTGTTAGTAT